CTCTCTCACACACACACACACGTAAGGAAGGAGACATAGAGATATCTGTTCCCAGGCAGCAGGAGAATCTCCAATTATGGCAGGATGCAGCATCAATTTAAGGCCTAATTGTGTGCGTAATGAGCTCACCGTCATGCGTCCGCGCCCCCGTCACCGCGCCCGCTGCTCTAACCAGCTCTCCCCTTCCTCCTCCATCTGAGCGCCCGGTATCTAATTAAAAAACTACATGCGCCGCGGCGCTCTCATCTGATTCACCCCATGGAAATTAATCCTCAGATAAACGTGTTTGACGGACACCAAACTATTGCATGAGCTCGGACGCGGCGCACTGCTCTCTCAGTCGGGTGTAAACTGTTTTGCATTTGGCGTTTTTTTTTTTTTTTTTTAAATTCTAAAATCCGAAATAGCTCAAGACAAAACGGGTTAACTTGATGAGAGGGTAAATTTGATGAGAGGGAAAACTCGACATATCATCAAGCCCAGTGGTTTGTGCGAGGGAAAAAAATATGCAAATGGGATCTCGGATTAAAATTACAAAATTAAAGTTTAAGCATAAACAGATATTCTATAAGAGCGTGTAGACCTACTTCTGTTTTAATAGCTTCTGCATGCAACAAAACCTCTAAATATTCTGAACCAAACATTTTCTGAATCCAGAGAGGGGGGGCTAACAAAAAAATGAAAAGTGAAAACCACTAAACAGATGAACAGGTCGATGTTTTGGTCCGTTGTGTTCAGTATGATTCAAGAGACTATATATTAAGAGTATTGCTATCATGCTGAAAAGGCGAAGGCGGAGACTAGAGGCCTAGACAACAACCAGCAGCAGCATGAACGCATTAACAGATTTCCCTCCCTCCAAAAAACAGATGCAGCCTTTTATTTAGCCTATCTATTTATTGCTCAGTTGTTTTTGTGTTTTTATGCCTAAAAGAACGTCACCAAACTTGCACCTGTTATGCACATCTCACCAAATCATCTGTTGAATATTTGTGGAACTGCATTTTGGGAATAAGAGCAATTTCACTCAGTAAACCAACACTCAAATTATTTCACCAGGCCTGTGGCATATGTAGAACATTTTACATGGATGTGTAATGTGAGTAAACGGGTGAAAATAGTTTGATGATAGGCTGCTTTAATTGTGAAATGAATGGGGTTTTTCTTTATGGAATGAAAACAAATTTGTTTTTTATTTTGGATATTTTCCCTAAATAGTCTCCAACTGAAGGTCTTTGCAGCTTTTATTTAGCCTATCACCTGAAGAACATTCCCTCGCTGTGTTATTTTATGCGGATTTATTCATTTATTTCAGCTTGATCCGTGATCTCCACGCTAATGACAAAAACACAACAAGATCACACCTAAGCTCTGTTCGGGCACGGCCAAGTGCCGCGCATACCTTGCCGTACCAAGTTGACGCCCACGCTAACTGTCCAATCACGAAATGACTTTCGGCGCTTCCATCCAATCAGAGCGAGGTGGGCACTCGGTGGGCGGATCCAGACCAGCTCCAGAGAGGGACATTGAGATAGTTGAGGAGAGGAGGCTTGTTGGGCACGAATGCCACTCGTTGCGCGTCCTTATAATTTGGAGAGGTGTATGCAGCGCACGGCCCGTTCGCCTTTCCAGGTGGAAATCCAGGAGGAGCTGAGACCGAACTTAACAGGGACGACTGGTGAACCCGGTTCAGGACAGGTGAAATTCCCAGCAGGCTGCCAGTAAGGCCACAGGATCGATGCAGATGTTGGAAAATACACTGGCTGTCAGCGCGGGTATGAATTCAGCAAATATATATATGTCTCAACAAGTTTGTCAAATTAATCTAGATGTTATTTTTATTTTATTTTATTAAAAACAAGTGGAAAAAAAAAAATCGGCCAGCGAGGTGAGATTATGTCACAGTTGTTTTTTTCCCAACGCTGTTGCACACGTTTCAGGGATTGTGTTGGATCATAATTACATTTCCTCGGTACCACTGCAGTGATCAGCAATATGATGCCTTGTTTTATCATTCCTACAGAAATGATGTCTCAATGGCGGACGTTTTACTTCTTTTTCTTTTTAGGATTAATTTAAGAGCTGCCTGGTGGTTGAAATGATTTAAGACGGACGTGTTTGGAGTGTGCTCTTCGACATTTTTTATTTATTTATTTATTTAACCAACAGGGTGAACTTGTTTCTTTAAAACTAAAAAAAAGAAAACCAGCCTGAATCCATCTAAGACCACATCTGTTGATCTGCAGTTAGAACAGACTTATCAATTAGCCAGTTGTTTAATTTATATCTTCATAAAATTAAATTGCCCCACTGTGTGCAGCTATCAGTGGTGTTGCGTCTCATTGCACTGTATTTTATTGTTGTTATCTTGGTGATGTTATTTTTTTTTTTTTTATTGCGCCTATTGTTGTTGCTTTTGATGCTGCTGTTAAAAGCCGAGAATACCCTGGTTATAGTGTATGTCTTCTTCAATAAATCACACTTTTGATTGATGTGTAAATTAATTTATAGCGTTGTTTTTTCCAGTCAGCCCCATCTGACATGCAGGCCTGCATCAGGCATACATCAGAATAACACAAGTAGCAGTTCACGTCCGGTTTTAACTCATGTAAACGTTATAGGGCCTTTGCAGGTCAAAATGCAACGGGTATGGCAATAATGTTGTTGTTTTTTCCCTCTGTGTTTTACAGGTCATGGATGAAATCTCGCGGCAGCACCGTGGAGCTTTAACAACAACCAGTTGAAGTATCACCGACTGCCATCCGGAATATTAGGGATATTCACACTTCTTTTTTTTTGGATTCATCAGTTTATATTAAAACTCCAGCTTCTTTTTTTAGTTGATAAAAATCTGCAATGAAAAGGAGGCAAAGCGAAGCGGAATCAGTCAAATTGTTGAGTTGAATGACCACCGCCTCAGACAAGGAAGGATACAGTGACAAGGCGCCGAAATGAAGGAAAAATCCAAAACGGCCGCAAGGACTAGACGGGAAAAGGAGAACAGTGAATTTTATGAACTGGCCAAAATGTTGCCTTTACCGTCGGCCATCACATCTCAGCTGGACAAAGCCTCAATAATTAGACTGACAACAAGTTACCTGAAGATGAGAATCGTTTTCCCTCAGGGTGAGCGATTAGCCCCATTTAAACACACCGATCTCAACTCTGCTGGCATGTTTTTCCCTGTCAGCTGTGGACCTCACTTTAGTGAGAATACACTGATATCATTTATATTTTATTATTAACTTACTAAATAATTATGGGCTTGTTTTTATCAAAGTATTTCCACGACGTCGATGTCTTAAAGAAAGAAAAATAGACCATAAACCATAGAAAACCAAGGTTTTATGAGGGATAAGTTATAGTTAATATAAAATCATTATTCTAGAAGTCAGTATTATTCAGTTGAAACGCAATAAGAATTAAAAATATATATATTTAGTTTAGGTTTGTTGACTATTATTTTTAATAATTTGAGAAATATCTTTAGTCCTAGTAACAGTGTTGTTGTGGTGATGTTGTGGAAGATTTAAAAAAATAAAATTAAATGAGATTTAAGTGATATTACACATTACACCCGCGCGGAGGGCTCACATACTCACTTTAAGTGACACAGAAATATTACAGGAGCCTTACAGTCATTTTCCATCGATTTGCAGGGAGTCTTTACAAATGGATTATGGTCGTTTTTAATTCAGTGTGTCTAAAGGAGACGATCTGCCACCATCTTTTATACAGGTCTCTGCAGGCTTCTTTGACTGCGTGACTGAGAACAAGCCGTACCAATTATAAAAAAGGCCCTGCACGGCTTCTAATCACCTAGAGCCATGTGAGCAGGAGGCACACACACAATCTCACACGGCCTCTCTTGTGCAAGAAAAATACTATTAATGATCTGCCATGAAATCAAATCATAAGCCCACGTATTTGCTGCAATACAGTGAATGTAACAGACAGATAGGCGCGTGTTTTGCTGTCATAACGTATATATACCAGAGAGGCTAAATGATAAAAAATATGTAAATAGAAGAAAAAAATATTAGTTGTATTTTTAAATGTATGCATCCTTTAGCCGAAAACATCCGTTTTTATATTGTAGGTCCCTTTTCTACATCCTCTCATATTCAGGGGTGATATTAAGCAACATGTCTGACATCGGAGACCTATTTTCATTTTCATTTACAGCAGGGGAGACGAACACCTAATTTATTGATGATACCCGGCCCGGCGAGCTCCATGAGATTTTTTGATGAAACTGAATGAATTTCAATGAGCAGCACTAGCTACTTGCTTTGTTCCACTTACACTGAACACAGTGGCCTGCACTGGTGGATTTATTGGAGCAAAAATCTAAGGATGGACATATTTGTGGTTACATTTACGGAGGCATTAAAATACTGCATTTCTATAACAACACCAATAATAATAAAGAATATTTTCCTGGAGCATCAGGGATAATTCGTATCCTGCTCCAAAACTTATATCATCCCTCCAGATTGAGCTTCTATATTGCAGCTGTTATAAGAGACAGGTCGCCTGTGCAGCTAAACACCAGCAGATTGTTGTTCTCTCAACCCCTAACCCTCTGGAGCCTGTACAACATGTGACACACAGGGAAATACTCTGTAAATGCTTTAACACTAAATAGGCCTTTTTAACAGGCACGCCTCTGGCTCGAGGGTGTGTGTGTGTGTGTGTGTGGGTGGGTGACTGAGAGGCAATACGCTAACTAATAATAAGAATAAGAATACTACTACTACTAATAATAAGAAGAATTATAATAATAATATGTATTTGTCGCAGTGTTTGACTTATTATATAGATTTTTAAATATGAAACAAGTCAAATCAAAACAATGTAGATTACTATTAAAAAAAAAGAGATATTATATTTTCCATTATTATTATTATTAAAAAAACACGACATTTTCTCCACTTCATTTTCATGTCAAACAGCAGTCAAACAGCATTATTTCACTCTGTCCAGGTCTGGGTGAGGCTTGGGGCCATGCAAGTCGAACAAGATCTTTGGACAATGTTGGACGAGAGCTGGGATCTCATTTACTGCAGGTATAGTATTATTATTTGTATTAACAACATAAGCAAGCGAAGATGATGTGCGCCCCGACGCTAGGAATTATTTTTCGGAGGTAACTGTGGCCTGTCGTTTATTTGCAGACATTGGACGGATTCATCTTTGTCGTGGCTCCGGATGGAAAGATCATGTACATTTCAGAGACAGCGTCGGTCCATTTGGGACTGTCTCAGGTCCGTTTGTGCAATCAGATTTATTTATTTATTTATGACATTTCTTTTTTTGTTTTTCTGTTATTTTTACAGCAACAACATGTACAGCTTTAAAGCAAATTTAAGACAAACGGATAATATACAAATCCAGACAGTCCTTACCTGTTAATTACATGAGTTATTCTCAACAGGTAGAGTTGACTGGGAACAGTATTTATGAATATGTCCATCCTGCCGACCACGACGAGATGACAGCTGTCTTGACGCCACATCAGCCCTATCACTCACATTTCGTCCAAGGTAAAACACCTCCAAAGCTTCCATATACGCAACATATATACAGTGCGTTTGCAATTGAATTACAACATACAACCAGCGTTGGTTTATTATTGGCTAAATGCAACGAATGTGTGTCAATATTACACAAATGGGACACAGATGCACATACAGTCTACGCATCCTACATCGGATACAAATGCAATGTCGCATTCATGCAAGATGAATTTTGTAATAGTGAAATCGCTTTATATTTTTACACAAATGCCTTTATTTTTTATACAAGACAAACAACTCATTTATTTTGTTATTATTGGAAATTATCATTAAAATTCAAAATAAGCCAATAAGTCACGGACTTCGTTTTTAATATAGCGACAGCCTATAGCCTAGTATATTTTTCCCTCCTATGAGAGTTACTCTTTTTTAGTATTTTCAATTCAAATATTTTTCCTCCCTCAGAATATGAAATGGAGCGCTCTTTCTTTTTGCGGATGAAATGTGTGCTGGCAAAAAGAAACGCAGGCCTCACCAGTGGTGGATACAAGGTAGGCAACGGAGCTTTGTCACTGGCCTGTGATGTTTAATTAACAGTTTATTAATTAACTAAATAATTAATTGCAATAAAGTAGGCTAATGAAGGTTAAGTAATGAATAAATTGAGACCCATATTCAAATGATTTTCCTTGCTCTTCATAGATTATATTCTAAATTTTTATGTAAGAAAAATTAATGTAATTGGAATGTTTATATCATTTTGTATTTGTATAATCTTCTGTTCCAATGACAATTCTACATTTGTGGTCAGTATAAATTATGCTCCATGGTTCTGAAATGTCAGACATTTCAGGATGTCCTTACCCACATGTTCATTTTCGCCATAGCTTTTCTCACTGTCAGCCTGTTCCTCCACAGGTGATCCACTGCAGCGGCTACCTGAAGATCCGTCAGTACAGTCTGGACATGTCACCTTTTGAGGGCTGCTACCAGAACGTGGGTTTGGTGGCTGTGGGTCACTCTCTGCCGCCTAGTGCTGTGACTGAGATCAAACTGCACAGCAACATGTTTATGTTCAGAGCCAGTTTGGACATGAAGCTCATCTTCCTGGACTCCAGGTACACAGCTGTGTGCTGTATATGTCATTAATTGTTTCCCTCTCAGGCAATGTTCTTCATTGTTTGTATGCTTAGGGTATAGCACATTTTTCACTACTGGGGCTAACATTGTTTCCTGTAAAACAGAAACATTATACAGACAAATTAGAAATAGCCCCAGATCACTGCATATTATTAACACAACTTGTTAATTCCTCTCCAGGGTGGCAGAGCTGACAGGTTATGAGCCGCAGGACCTGATAGAGAAAACCCTGTACCATCATGTCCACAGCTGTGACATCTTCCACCTCCGCTGTGCACACCACCTCTGTGAGTTACAAGTCTGCTCTCTATTATGCTTTTACAATAGGCCGACTGACCTTCTTGTGTCCGACAGTTACTGCTCAGGCAACCTGCTTCAGTTGCCACGTGCAGACAATCATACACGTCACACACGTACATGTTGTTAATAACTTTAATCTCTGTCTTCTGTCTGATTCTTTTATCTCCTTCAGTGCTGGTAAAAGGCCAAGTCACCACTAAGTATTATCGTTTCCTGGCGAAGCACGGTGGCTGGGTCTGGGTCCAGAGTTACGCTACAATTGTCCACAACAGCCGGTCCTCAAGACCCCACTGCATAGTCAGTGTCAACTATGTCCTCACGTGAGTCTCACTTCCTTATTCAAATCCTAAAATCAGAGAGAAGCTTTTCCTAGGAGAGCTCCTTTTAGAAAATGATTTAAGAATAAAAGTTATATTTGTAATATTTTTATGAGACGTTTGTTCATGGAAAAGGTATCGTTCATGCGTATAAATAAGTTGCAATCTTTAATTTGTAATTATGAATCATGCATTTCAGACATTAAGTTGTTACATTGATTGCATTTTGGACTGAAATCCCTAAAATTACAGCTACATAAACATAGTAACACAAAGTTTAAGGGGCTATACTGGGCTAAAAGCAGCTGCATTTTTAATGATGTTTGCAGAAGGAACAGCATTGAATATTTAACTAGATTAAGTAAAATCACATCATACACTCTTATGATCCATGCTTGAAGCTCACTTGATGATATGATGGGTCTTTGTCTCTTGGAGAAATCCTTCTCTATATCCCTCTGTAGCCTCTCTGCACAAATCCACCAAATACTGTGGCTGCAGGGCTCAGGCAGTTGTGTGTTATGAGAGCACAAAGCACACTAAGGCCCTTTGAGACAGCAAGACAAACATCAGGGTTCAACCCCATCAAAAAAACCTCTACTGTCACCATTGATCTGCAGTCTAAGGAAAGAAAAATCGATGAAACGGTGAACTAGGAATCAATAGCTATCTCATAGCTGTAGCACATGTTGGATTTTCCTTGTTAAGTTTGGTTGATCCACATGTCGTTTTTCTGTGTGTGTGTCCTTCCCTGTGTGTAATGGTGTGTTTGTGTGAGTCTCTGTACGTGCATGCATCCATATGGCTTCACTCCAGATATTGATTTCTTCAATGCAGTAAGGAGAAAACAAAGTAACTACATTAAAATGGCAGCAAATTTACAAACGCATAATTAGCTCTTACCCAGGACTATCCAAAAGCTCACACTTAGCAAGAGCACAAAAAAACACCTACATTAAAAAAACAAACAGCAATTCAATCACCTTACCCTCGACAGCTTTTTAACCCAACAAGAATCCATTAATAAATCATGTTTGGAGGTTGGCTGGTGGCGTATTTCAGACATGAGGTGCTCTGACATTGACCCTGAGGTGGAATTCGGCTAACACAGCTGAGTTTGCACAAAGGCCCAACATTATTGGCTCAGACATAAGTCAGCCAGGGTACAGATAGGATGCAGAACCAGCCACCGCAACTATACCTGCAAGAGCAAATAACACTCACACTGTGTACTGGCTATCCAAACACAGCCTTTCCCCTAAGGTGTTGTACATAAAGAATGGGTCATATTTAGAGTCATATTAAAGAGGCTGGCTGTGCAGGGTCAGGGATGGGCCACAGGGTTTAAAATGCCAGGCAGCTGCTATTACATACTGTTGATGTGATAAGTTAAGAATAGGCTCATGTTTGCTGAACACTTGACACAGGAGCCTTTTCACTCCCTCGACAGTGACACTTGGATGGAGTTCAGCCACAGGACAGTGGGTTAAAATGTCAAAGATGGTGCAAAAGCTGCATGCACATATACAAGTAAAAAGACGCCTGCATTATACAAAAAAAAAATATTTTTTTCATAAGGTGCTTGCAGAGGATCAGTGAAGGGATAGTGTACATTCACATGCACGCCTATGTGTGCACAGTTACGTTGTTCTCTGACAGGGTTCTGGCAATGGTTGCACGGCAGAAAAGAATGATTAACTTTCCTTATACTGTCTGTTATTTTTCTCAGAAGTGGAAGGGCTTAATCTCTTGAACTTATCTTAAATGTTGTTTTCACTTCTCATAGATCTCACATCATTCATGGTATAAAAAGTATGTTTGTAAAATAAGTCTGTGTAGCTATCTATATTCAATATTGGCCAAGACGTCTGCAGCAGACTAATTACTGATTATGTCACTTGGTGCAACACTACCGCCACAACTGTATAGGAAAGAAAGAGGTGCCCAGATTATTTGAGAAAAATTCTAGCCTAAAGGTTTGAGAAGCTCTTGATTGGGCAAAAAAAGCAAGGCAAAGTATGAACCTGCTGAGTGGCCCGCAGAAGACAATGCATAAAACAAAAACAAAAGCAAAGTTGAGATTTACAAATGTTTAAACAAAAGTAAGATTCTACAATGATGCTAGAGGCTGTGGGAAATTGTGTTTAGTGCTAATGCCAGCATGCTAAGAATAGAAATGCTAACATGCCAATGTTTACCAGGTGTCACCGTCTTAGTTTAGCGAATTAGCAATAAGTACATCCGAGGCTAATTGGAATGTCATTTGTTTGGTCATAAACCAATGTATTGGACAAATTAAGAATGTCTGGGGAAGTTAAATGAAACATCAGGTTATTATAATTTATCCATAGTGTTATATGAGTGTTTGTACCAATTTTTTTGGCAATTCGTCCAGTAAAGCAACTTAGTAAAGCAAACCTTGTGGTAGTGGTAGAGGAAAACTCAGTTAAATCCATTCAATAGTTGTTGATATTCAGATTCAGATTCAGAAATACTTTAATAATCCCAGAGGGAAATTATATAAATATATAATATATAGACCAAAATGGTGGACTGACTGACTGACTGACATTGCAATTCCTTTAAAGTTGTGCATGGCATTAAAGTCACCACCTGGATAAATATGGGTTAAAACTTTTATTTTTATCTCTAACATCTATTCTGTTTGTGTCAAAAGGGATACGGAGTACAAGGGAATGCAGCTGTCCTTGGACCAAATGAGCCCCACCAAGCCAGCCTTCCCCTACGCTGACAGTCACAGTGAAGACAGGAAGAGCACCAAGTCACGTCTGACCCAGGCAAAGGCCAAAGCCAGAGTGTCACCCTACCCACAGGTAATAAACAGCCTGTTTTATAAAACCAAAATAGGAAAGGACACTCTGGCTTAATTGTTGTTGTTGAGGTTTACAATACAGAATTGTGATTTTTTTATTTCTGTCAGCAGTTTTCCGCTTTCAATCCAGAGCGCTCAGAGTCAGACCAAGACAGCCAATGGGGAGGGAGCCCGCTGACAGACTCTGCATCTCCCCAGCTGCTGGATCCCGGTGAGGCTGCAGAGGCATCTTGTGCCTACCGACTGTATCCAGACTCAGGCTCTCTGTGCTACGGCCTGGGCCTATCAGAAGATGATCTTGTCCATGCCCAAACACATCCTCACACCACCACCTGTGACCGTGTGCGCTGCCAGAGTGGCCGCTACTTCCTAGGAACCCCCCAGTCAGGAAGGGAGGTGTGGTGGGACGCCACGCGCTCAGTGCTCTCACTGCCGAAATCGTCTGTGGAGAACAGCGAGGGCTACGAAATCACATCCTACCATGGAGCCATTCACGGTGAGGTGTTAGGGTTGAGACCACAACCATCTGTCTCTGAAAATAGCTCTGGCCTAGCTTCTCCTGGTAGCTGTTTTCCAAATGTTATTATGGGACATGCTAAGTTGTTTACGCCATCTCTTGCCAGTGTGCCGATTGCTACCATCTGTTCAAAAATTGCCTGCAATTGAAAGCCAAGTTATTTCACATTTCACATCCTCAAACAGGGAAACATCCCCCACTGTGCCTCTGCCAAGACATTCAGTCTAACAGACCATGGTTCTATGTGCATTTAAAGCAGAATTTTACACTGTTTTAGAAAATGGCCCTTAAAATATATGAGAAGAAAAATAGGACTAAAAATCATGTTCGTAGTAGTTTTCACGAGTAGTTGTAAGTGTGAAGTTTGTGCCGAAAGGATAAAATTACTTATTAACAATGTAATTCATTGATTTCACTGTTTTGAAATGTGGCTATTGAACTCTCTTTACAGGTCGGGGGCACTGGGATGAAGACAGTGTAGTGAGTTCACCTGATGGAGGTGGGTCAACCAGTGATTCCGGTGAGCGTTACCATGGTGACCACTTCCGGGCAACCGCTCGAGAGCCCAGCAAAATGGAGACCCTAATCCGAGCCACACAGCAGATGATCAAAGAGGAAGAGAACCGTCTGCAGCAACACAAGGCGCCACTAGACGTCTCAGGCCTCGCCAAAGCTCACAGCCCGTGCTTCAGTTCCTCACTACCCCATCACTCCCAGCTCACCATGCCCAGTGTGGTGTGCCGCGGCCCAGGCGCCCCCAGCATCGACCTCCCCTCTGAACGCCTCCATCACCGGGACAGCGTCAAAGTGCTCGGTCCACATGACAATGACGAAAACACAACCAGTCCGGCATCTCTGTCTCGTCTCAGCAGCCCCAGCTCTGATGGGATTCCCAGGTCGAGCCTGTCCCTCACCAAAGACTACATGCAGACGGATCTGTCCCCCCACCCTCCACCGCCCCAGGGGAGCCCACTGATCTATCCGGCCCAGGAGAGGCAGGCACTGGACAGGCAAGCAGCCTATGCTTTGACTGGGTATTCCCTGGAGCACCTGTATGACCCAGAGAACCTGCGGAGTTACTCGGGCCTGGCCTGTGGAGGAGTCCAGTATGATGTGGCCTCTCATGTGAGAATGCAAGCGGAGCAGATGCAGGGACACAAGGCCACCTCAGTTATTATAACCAATGGGAGCTGACGATATCTGGTGCAGATTGGTCCTGTTCTCTAGATGAGGATGTTACACTAAGGTGGTGCTTTATGCACATGTAAACACTGACCAGGTGCTTGATATAAACAGCGGGACAATAAAAAAAGAATAAAAGGCACCTGCACTGGGTTGATGTGCCCTTGGTGGCTAATTCAGCACAATTTGTGTTTATCGGCCTTTGTATCATACCATTCTCTTTACTTTATCATTGGAGGATGATATGAACTAGTGTTCAAGAACTACAGTTCGGTATGCTACTTCACTGGGCGGAGGTTTGCTCCATTATATAGGAACGTGTTATTTTAATGGCGATAAACTGAATTTTCCTCCCTGCAAAGGCGACCTAAGTTTTAAGTCTGGTTAAACATCAAGCCAGTGTTTCTGTTCCAGACGTCTCGCATCATTGGCCATGTGAGTTAATCTGTCCTGGACACGATTTCCAAAGGCAGTAAGAAAATGTGTTGTTCCATTGCCCCTTCACCTGAAAACTCCATTGCACAAAGCGTAATGTTTGACACATGAAGTGCAACATGGGAAAGGCAAGCTTTTCACTATTGTAAGATGTCAATGTTTTCTGGTATTTATTTGTCAGTGGGCTGTTTTCTGTACCTGTCATTTTTTTCTGTCCAAGTAGAATCTTTAGTGGTCACATAAAACTAGTTTTGGTGTTTGGATTACACCAACATTAGATTAAAAAAAAATAATGAAGTGGAAAAACATAGAAAAATATGCTTCTGATATGTAAAAGTGTAAAATATGCAGGTCAACTTGGAACCATTTTAATGTATATATGAAATGCCCTCACTTAGAGTGCAGAGAGATTGCAAAACCAACACATTTGTAATCTCCTTGTGCGCTCTAAATATAGGCATTGTATGTAGTGACTTACAGTTGTGGCTGAAACAATATTGTTTACATATCAGAGTATAATTTTTTCTGTTTTTACCTCATTTAACCCAACTTATAAGCATATGTAGAATATGCTTTTAAATCCTTAAATCCTGCTGCTCATGCAATTGTTCTCAAAGAAAACCATGTTTTTGTTTTTTATCATCATGACAGCCTAAAGGGTTAAAATTGTTGACACAAACTTATCTAAAAATATGTTGAATGTCTTTTTGTTTCTTATTTAATTTATGATGTAAATATCATCACACAATGAACTTTTGGACAAGAAGTGACAAGATTATTTATTAATTGGTTTTAAAAAGTCTCTTAAATCTGAATACAGTTGCAAACAAATAACATGACTCTGTTGATTTTTGTCATACAACTGTTATTTGTCAAAACTGCTTTGAACGGATACACACACTTAATGCTGCTGCCTCAGAAAAACTGAGATGTATAGATATAGATATAAATACAGTTAAACATATACAGTAGATAATACATTTTTGCCAAACATTTAGCCCATCCCACATGGGATCGCAACACACTTAGCTATTTGTCAAACATATAACATGATAGCCCTATATAGAAATAATATATATAGTAATACTATATTTTTCTTATTGTCAACTAATCCTACAAAAAGACCAAAATCAACAATGCAATAATGTGAATCTTTAAAAAATGGGTCACAAATATAGAGTTTCATCTTTAAAAAAGGGCACTGTAGTTTTTAGCAAACTTTACTACAGTAAAGATTACATTCATTGTGTAGTAACACAGTTGGCGCACTAGTAAGTATTTACAGTAGCAGGATGGTGGATTTTGGGATTGACTCATTCTACAGTGCCCATGTTCATCGTAATGAAGGATCATGTCAACCAGTGCAATAATGTGGCTCATTGATGTGTTTTTAATATTTATAACAATGGAGCTTTAGGGCTCAGAAATAAGCTATATCAGGTTTCAGCCACAGACAGTAGTTAGGACCAATTCATTGTTGGAGCTGGTCTTTTCATGGGATTTGTTAACAATAATTAAAAGTATAGAATATTAAAAGCCTCATTCTTTAAGTGTTTTTTTGGTTCCAACAACGAGTGAATTAAGGGAAGGCATTACTGCAAACATCTACTAAAAAGACCTCATACAAGTCATTACAACAGCAAATTGCTAGTATGACTACCGAGCTGTCACCTTTTAAATGCACTTGCAGCAGCACGTTCCTGCTGTTTGGAGCAGTTGAACTTGCACATTTTGCCGCTTTGACCTCTGCTCAGAGGCAATTTCTCTGCCATGTATTTTAATATATGTAAGTTATTCACATGTAGCAGGAGAGCTGGCCTGCCTGCCTGGCTGCTGTCTGAGCTGAGAGGAACCTGGACACAGTCTGGGCCTGGATGCAGAGCTCCCATCAGTCACTGGTGACATGACCATGTGATGGTCTGCCAGATATCATTGCTGCTGTCATTCCAGGAGGTAGAACTACACTGCTCTGCTGTTGACATCACCAAGGTTTAGGAAGGGTGTGTGTGTGTGTGTGTAAGTGTGAGTGTGTGTGTGTGTGTGTTTATTGCTGAGATACTTCAATAATAAGAGACCAGTGTGATTTTTTTCCCTTCTAAACACTGGGGCTTTTGCCTGATGTGCCCTAAAGGCTTTCACGTGTAGAGTCGGCTACAAATGCGGCCAAACACTGGGCCTTTTGCCCAGACTTTGCACACTTGCATACACCTCCCCACAATCCTCACCCCTCCACCCAAGTTCCTCTCTGCCCCACCTCAGTCCTATAGAAAGAAACAGGCGATTATAGAGCCTCAAAGAGGAAAATGAACAGTTTTCTCACATATGTTGAGAAAAACAGATCACAAAGAATAGCAGAGGTAGAACAAACACTCAAATCCTTACCTTAAGTAAAAGTAGCAGTATCACAATATAAACACACATTACAGTAAAAGTCCTGCATTGAAAATGTCACTTAAGTAAAAGCATTATATTACCAGTAGAATACGCTTTGTGTCAAAAGTACTATGCAGTATTAAGCAGGATAACTAGTTTGAGAAGGTTATATTATTACATGCATATCATTGCATTATTATTGATGAAATAATGTATGATGCTGTAGCTGGTCAAAGTGGAGCTCATTTAAACTATTATATAGTATTTCATCTATAATTAATCACCATTATTTTACAAGTGCATAATATGTTTTTATGCCAAATCAGTACTACTGTCTATTAAGGCACGCTTTATAAAGGACTTGAAATTCTATCAATAATTAACAAATAATTTACAAATGCAATGTCATGACTTAGGACATCATTTGGGTTGCCAGGTTGTAAAAATGTAGTAGTAACTAGCTGTCAGACAGAGGTGCAGTAAAAATATTATCTGAAATGTAGTGAAGTAAAAGTATAAAATATGCTGGTATAAAATGGAAATACACATTTAAAGTGTAAGTTCTTCAAAAATGTATTCATGTACACTATTAAGTTTTAAGTTACATACTAAAAACAGTTTGCAGACTTAACACATTAACAGAAGCAATCTTTCTTAAACAACCATTGAGGTATCTTTACATTTTTTAAGAGAGGTTTAAGAAGTTACTGGAGAACAGCAGATGTTAGGACAAAAATAAAATCACTCAGGAATAAAACAAAGGATCTTATGATGTCATTGCAAGAACAGATGTGTTATGTTAATTGTTTCCTTACTCTCAGGAACCCCTCATAATGAACCACAACTATACAAAATTAAAGCATTTGCAGTTAATTTAACTACTATGCTACTGCAAATAAAAAGCATGAATGAATCAGCTTTGTTTACACCATAAGGAATTAGCAGTTAGAGGAGATAAAGATGCTGGCTATGTCATGCGGTTGGCTCGACATGGAGGTAAACTATAGAACCACAGGAGCGAGATCCCAGGGTTTCACAACTGCAGTGAAGGAGAAATGGATCCTAACCTCACAAACAACCACAGAAGATGAGGGTGCAGGTGGTGAGGCTCAGAATAGCCCCTGAATGTCTACTTGATTGATTTCAGGCCCAGGATTTGAGGCACAATTGCATATTCATACATCAATTAAAGTGTTGCCCCACTAGTGCCTCCATAATTCAACGCTTAGTGAAGAGTCATCCTTATGAAGCAGCTTCAGACTAGCGCAGAGGAAAATGTTTCAACATGTTTTGTGTTTGTGCGTTCTTTATGACCTCTTTGATTGTTAGTGAACATCTCATAATTGTTTAATTTCTCTCTTTCTCTGAAATTCAGCATGGAAATAGCGGTTTCTATCTTCAAAGCATAGTGTGAAACCATGCAAACCTTCTACTGGGCATTAAAACATTTCCCATGCAGCAATAAAATCGTGCACTTCTTCTGGTGAGTCACCTGCAAATGATTCAGCCAAGGACAAAACAGCACAGGACCTGGGAAAATCATTCAACCAGGGCATTTACTGACACCTATACAGCAGACCTCATTGCACCAGAACACATTTAGATGTTCTGATCGGGTGGACCAGGATATTGAGGTCAACTGGTCGATATGATTGGCTGAACCAGGAGACTGAGGTCATTCTGCAAAGTGGAGAGGAAATAAGGTTTGTCTTTGTGTCACAGCACCTGAGATGGGAACGCTGCTCAGAAAATATGTGTCTAATTACAGATAGCACTATAAAACATTAGACTGTAACCTCTTTACTATTTGAAGACTTTATTTAGAGATTTCACCAGTTTGAATAAACAGTTAATTCAAAAGTTTCAAATTAAAGCATAAGGCTTAACAAATCAAATTAAAAGACCACAACCAACAGTGTGCTAGTCCATCTCTCAATACTTTGTGACTTCCCCAGCTTGTGGCTTTGAGCTCCTAGTAAACAGGAAATCTACACAAATCTTTAAAAACAGGTCACAAATGCGTATTTTTATCTTTAAAAAAGGCATTTTAATTTCCCAAAACATCTGGGCATTGTAGTTTTTGGTAAATGTTACTAAAGCAAGAGTAAACAGTACATTTATTGGGGATTATCTTCAGCTGCAGATTTGGTGCGCTAGTGAGTTATTACAGCAGCAAGACGGTATATTTTGTATTGGCTTAAAATAAACTAGAGTGCCCAGGTTTATCGTAATGAAGGAACATGTCATCCAGTACAGGAATGTTGCTCATTGGTGTGTAGACAACATTAAGTCTATGGCACAGAGGAATAAGTAATATCATACTTTGGATACACAGGAAATACTTAGACAGATTAATTATTTGTTGCTTTTGGCTTTTTCATGGATTTGTTGACACTAAGAAAAATATAGAACACCACTGTACCAATAGTAAATTTACAAACACAAACTCTAAGTGGTCTACAGTGATCAAGTCAAACTGCATTTGTCAAGTTGCAAGTGTGAGTTTCCTCACAAAAATATAACAAAACAACTGGTGGCTCCACATTTCTGGACATTTCAGCAAAAGATAAATGGTTATTGATTTTAAATGTTAGTAAATGGAGGTTTAGGTTGGAGCAGATAAATCTACAGCATTCAGGGTTCCCAGGATGTCCATTAAAGTTATAAAGCCACAAAAACCCTTTGGCCATATAAAGTAAATCCCACATTTTGAAACTACAATTGCAGTTTGTTTAAATAATTTTGATGGGATGTTACTTCCTTCAAAAAGGAATTTTGTATTTAAAAATCAAAAATCATACCAAAAACATGATCATTTTTACAAAACCGGAACAAAACCACCTTAATTTAAAACTCACTAATCCTTCAGCAATAAGGCTATTAAAAAAGACTACAAGTACAATATCCTAAGCTCCGTCACACACACACATACACACACCACCAAGGCTCAGACAGTGTGAATCTAATGCCCTCCAATCCTGTGAATCCCTTTGTTCCTGATTTCACGCTTGATTTGCCCACAGCTTGAGTCTGGCTGGTATCAGCGCTCCTCTCACTGCTTTCACTCCTGCCAAATCCACAGAGCCACACAGGATCCATGTCTCCTCTCTCTCTCTCGTCTGCCATTGTTCCTTCCAACATCTCTGTGAAATGCTCCCAGACTCATGCCAAGGAGTTGTGTTTGTTTGTTTGCAACTCAGTCACTCTTACTGTAAACACCTCAGCAATCTGCCAAGATCAGATCAGAGCAAATTCTGATACTGTCATTTTGCATTTCATATGATTTATTATGTTATCTTAAATAATTTCATTAGGGACATATGTAAGCACAGTAAGTCCACTGAAAATATGTCTTTATTAAATGATTTCCTGTAAAGTTGCAAGAATAATCCC